GCCAAGTGTGCCATTAAAATCACTTTCAATTCTGCTCAGAAAATGAAATTCATTAAGAAAAAGTACCACAGTTTTGTCAAATAACACCATATATGGGCATTCTGAGAAAAGAATGATAAAAGACATAAGGCTAAGGACATCATCTCCATTTGAGTGTGGCAACAGGATATGATTTATAAAAGAAAAATCATCAGGATCGTTAGAGCTGAATTGCAGCTTATGTAAAAATAATCCTGAGTCACAACGCATGTGACTTCTGAGGCATAAAGAACACAATTGCTTAAAATTTGATGAGTGATAAGAATTCTAATAGAGAATTAGCTTTCTTGCAAAACACTCTGTATATGCTGTGCTATAGAAGTACAGAAGTGTCTTTTCTCAGTTACATTTATTATATGATCTCCTGTGCTCAGATACTCTGATACTTCAGGTTTTGTCTCGTTCTACACCCTTTTCTTTGGGTCATCTCATTTCTTCCTATGACTTGAACTGCTACCGTTAGAGTCACATCTCATTCTCTCCCATGAACCCAGCATCTCTACCTCTGTGTCTCATGTGTACAAAGTTAACAGGTCTAAAGTTCACCTCACTGATTTCCATCTCAAATCTAGTCTTCCTCATCAGCATCCAGCCAATTATCGAAGCAAGAAAAAGGAATTATGCTGTTCTCCTTTGTTTCATTTTATATATCCAATTATTCTGTTCTGTAATGCCTAAAACAGCCCATTACTGTTTACAAATACGTCCTTTCTTTCTTATTTTTACTGCCATTGCTTTGTTTTAGAGACAGCACCTTGCTCTGTTGCTCAGGCTGGAGTACAGCAGTGTAGTCATAGTTCACTGTAGCCTTGAACCCTTGGGCTCAATCAAGCAAGCCTCCCACCACAGCCTCCCAAGTAGCTGGAACTACAGGCACCACGCAATCGAACTAATTTTTGTAGAGATGGGGTTCCACTTTGTTGCCCAGGCTGGTTTCAAAGTCCTGGCCTCAAGTGACCCTCCTACCTTAGCTTTGCCATTGCTTCTGCTCAAGTTCTTCACTAATCTGTTACTTGTCTGTTTTTTGATATTACTGTTAGTTGTAATGTATTTCTTAGCAATAACAAAAAGCAAACTGATACATCCTCCCCCCCCAAAAAAAAATGCACAAACCAAAACAATACAAATCCAACATAATCATGTCACTCCTGTACACATTATTTTTCAATGTTAGATGCTGCCTGTCAGACACAGTTCAGATTCTTCACCAAGTCATATTATGACTCTTATCTCCTTTTTGCTCATGTGTTCTTCTCATACGCCTTGTGATCTAGCCACACTAAGTCACTTGCCATTTCCAAACACATCATGTCTTTCATCCTTCTGAGACTTGCAGTGTTTTCCTCTGCCTGGAATGCCTTTTGTAGCCTGTCTGCTGAGAATTTCTAATCCTCAATTTCCTCATCTGTATAGCAGGGTGGTAACAGTACTCACTTCAAAGGATTGTCATGGTGACTAAGTAATAAGTTGCTCTGTTCCCCATGGTATCTAGCAGATAGAAGCACTCAGTAAATGTTAGTTAGCACTATCACTGTCGTCATTATTGTTTTGCTCTTATTCAAGTCTTAACAAAAATATCTCCTTTGCTGAAAGTCTTACCTAAAATTGTTGGGCATTCTTCCTCTCTGATCCTATGTCCCTAATTACAGTACCACATTAAACCAACTCCAAGAGTGATAGAATTTTCACATTTTAGAGCCTCTGATATTGGGGTACATCTTACTGTCTAAATGCTGTGGCTTATGGAAGCACTTTTTCTTTCTCTATAGTACATGTAATAATGGTATTTCCTACAATAAATAATAGATGAAATACTAAAACTGTATGACAATTGTCATAGAAATTTGATTAACCATGGTGAATAGCGCATATTTGTGGTAAACAGAAAATCCTACATTTTCTATGAAACAGTGAAATATCTATGTAATAGAGGGACTACTATTTGGAACTCTAAATAGTAGCGAGAAGATATTCCATTTGTATATACTATAACTTGGCAAAAACCCAGCCCCTACATCATAGCATGTTGCTGTGAATTATAATGTATTTCTTCACCACAGACCCTAAACCATACATTTCAGAACTGCAGAGGTAATAGTCTGATGAAGTAGCATGCTGTCACCTCCTTTGGTTAAGCAGTCCCACCTGAGAGCCAAACAAGGGCCAGGCCCGGAGTGGGCAGGGGGCTAGCTTGAAAAAAACTGCATTCCAAAAGCTTAAGATTCAAGTTGAGAAGGCTGAGCAACAATGAGAAGAGAGTGTAGGCATGAACTGAGGAAAGCCTATGGACCATGCCTCTAGACTAGCACTTTCTGACAGAAATATAATGTGAACCGCAAATATAATTAAGATTTTCTAGTAGCCACATTCAAAAAGTAGAAGAAAAATATAATTTAGCTAATATATTTTGTCAGGTTATTAGCATATTTATTAACTTACCTACAAATTAATATTAATCATGTTTTATTTAATATATCTAAAATATTATCACTTTACCATGCAATCAGTATAAAAAATTAGCAATAAAATATTTTACACATGTTTTTGTGCTGAGTCTTCAAAACCCAGTGTGTGTTTTACTCTAGTAACACGTCTCTGTTTCCGTTAGCCACATTATAGCTGCTCAGAAGCCACCTGTGGCTAGTGTCTGCCACATTGAACAGCACCATTCTAGACTTTTTTTTTTTTTTTTGATAAAATGAGTTAAGTAATGAAATAATTGTAACAGGCTATTTCAACAGTAGACTTTTGTACCATATGATATTGGGAGTGTCTAAGATTCCTACAATAGTATATATATTTTTATATTCTTAATTTTTAAACAGAATGGTAATGTTTCCTTCAAATGCATTTTGTGTCTTGTTTTGGCTGGTTTTGTTTTAAGCATCATTTGATGTTATTCCCAGTGTCCCTTTTACTTCACCTGTCGGTTAAAGAGGAGCTGATTGTATTCAATTATAGACATTTTCCCACTAAGAAAGTCCTTGTGAGAGGGTGTAGGAGTATACAATTAATCTTAGTACGCTCTGTCTATCACATAGCCTAACACATAGCAGGCTCAGAATAAATCTTTGAATACACATTAACAGGTGAACTAAGCTAGACAGTAGTGGCTATCAATCTGGGTTCCACACTGGAATTACCTGGAGAGTAAAAAAAAAAAAAAAAAAAAAAATCTGATGCCTGGTCCCACCCCAAGAGATGCTGATGATGGGTCTAGAGTTGGGCCTGGGTATCAAGATTTTTAAAAAATCTCCCGAGTGATTCTAGTATATGATAAGAGTTGAGAACCAGTGTTCTAGGGCTTTCTTAGAATAGCTTACTGTGGCCATACCCTTGCTTCACTGACAGAAGATCCAGTTTCCCTCACATAAATTGCCTTTCTCTGAATAGACCAGAATTGTCTTAAAAGCCCTAGTAGAGAAGAGGCTGGCACATTATCCCAAATGAGGATTTGCAAATTCCTTTTCCAAGGTACCAGAGAAGATTGTCAAGATTTTAAATCTATTCACATTTATGTCTTTTCAACAAAAAGAATAAAATTCACAATACAAGCTAGCTGCTTTGCAGAGCCAGGACTCTAAGGCCATTACAGTATGTAGGCAGATAGTACCCCGACATACACATGACAACATTTCTAGAAATAGAATAGCAATTAAAAACAAAAATGGAATTCAAGTACACATGAGCTTCATTTCAAGTTAATTCTACATATGTAAAAAGCCAACACTATTAACTCGGATCAGCAAAGGGAAGTATTCCATGCTTTTCTTCAGGCTACTTAGGTTACATTTACACAGTATAATGATGTATTTTTTGATAAGTCACTTATAAAACCCATCTCCTAAAGTCACATAGCACATAAGTATTGATATCTTTGCTCTCTAGATGGTTCTTTGCCTGACAGCATTTCTTCCATCATATGTGAGGTTCTGTAATGGCTGGGAGAGAAATCTGACTTCTCTTACTTCACTACAGACAACCTTTCATCATGGAGAAGGGAGCAATGGTCTCTGCACCAAGGGAGTAGCAGCTGGAATGGAGTTCCTCGGATTCATAGACTGAGAATTTCCCTGCCAATTCTCAAGCTGGTTTGGCCACACTTTATGCATTCACCCTGCTTAACAGTCTTTTGTTGATGGTGTGGTCCCATGTGGCCTTACTCAGTAATAGAAAAAGCATGTTGAGATATCCCCAAAGACTCCTATGTGTCTTTCCTCTAGCTTTCCAGCAAGGAAGAAAGCTGCCTCAACAACCCTGCACTTGTTTTTGTTTTACATCTTAAGTTGAATTTGAGAAATTAGAATAGGAATTATCTAAAAGATATGATACTTTCATGTTCACTAACCCGAATCAACAAAAGTTCCATACTCAGGCCAAAATTGTGAAGGAAGAAAATCTGTTAAGATTTCACAATAAGTGCTGAGTCTTATGCATATCACTTCCACAGACTAACTTCAGAGGGCTGACAGGTAGCAATGATTGATGTGTGACATTCACTTGGCCCTCACTTTCCTATCCGAAAAGGAATGAAAAATATAACAGAAGTTTCCAAGTTGCTACACTCATAAAACCAGGAAGGTGATCACCATCCGCCTGTCCAGGCTGACCACAAATCTGAAACACATGACTGCATCTACCTTGCACATACATCATTTATCGGTCAACATGGGCTGAGAAATCCCTTAAGCTCCATGAAGAGAAAAAAGTTTGTCCTCAGAGAGTTTATAAAAGCCAGAGTAACATTAAAGGATTTAAAACATTAAAATGGATTTGAAAGGTGATATACAAGCTATAGGACAACTCCATCTACTTTGAGTATGTAACCACCATGGGAAGATGGGCTAATGAAATCACCAGAGCTGCCTGTGGTCAGGATGCAAGGGCCATGAGCCTCAGAGAAAGCTTCATGGAATGGAAAATCAGGGCTGTGTGTATGTGCTGCTGACAAAGCTTCCTACCTTTCTGGAAGAACTCCTCTAGTTTGTCTTTGAAAGGCTGGAGATACTCCTTCGGAGACTCCTTGCACACCACCACCATCTGTTTTTCACTTGCTGTGAAAAGAAATTTAGAATTAGACTTAGGAACACATATTTGCTCAGCTCCTGCTATGGACCAGGCACTGCGCTATGCACTTGGGTATCATCTGTGCACACCCCTTGTCAATTACTGTTTGTCCAAATTCCAGGGAGGAAAAAAAACCCAGAAATAATGAGCCAACAAAAATAATTAGTTCATTCCACACCTCTCTGGAGGAACAGGGTAATGCATAATCCTTCAATTTTGCTTCTAGAGATCCAGAAAAATCTTGACCTAGGATAGATAAAATATTCTGCTTCTGTTCTCCCAAAGATAAAGAGAGGCAAAAACTACTTGAGGATTAGTCCCACGGAATTAAGGGCACGAGCTTCTTCAGATTCATACTCCAAAAGTAGAGCTTGAAAAAGATACTGCAGAAATTCGCAGGCATCCAAGTTGTCTAGAACTAGCAACCTGGTGATTGGCCAGGGTGACACATGTACCCCAGCATGAGAACTAAGCCGAGGGAGAACCCTGTCTGTCCTTCCTGCTTCCCATTCATCTAGCCTTCCTTTTAATCCTCTACTAACACGTGGGAAATACTTTTTATAATTTACTTCAGATACGCTGTCTAAAATTTGTAATAGAATACCTTTTGATAATCAAGTCTGAGGTGACTTGACTTAAAAAATGACCTACCTTATTAGATAGTTATGATTTGGCTACATGGAAACCACAGTAATTCATAGATCACCATCACAAAAGGTAGTTAACCCAGGCAAGAGATATCTCCCCAAGGTTCCTATGTGTTTGTGCCAGTTGCAGCACACACAGAGGAAAGAAAGTCTTCGCTTCTACAAAGCTAGAGCTCAGTCATGATCACTTTTATCTTTTGACTACGGCCAAAAATTAGATATGTTCTTGTTCAAAAGCCTATTAATTAAGTACCGGAATTTCACCATAAAGATACCATGCCACCTTGTTCACAAAATAGAGAAATACACACTACACGTCTTAGAGGAATTTAAACACACAGGTAAGGCATCTTGGAAGAAGGCTGGGAAGGAGATCTTTATTTACATTGGCAAATTCCTATCCAATAATTTGGCATACTTAAAACTAGCATTTCAGAACAATTATTGCAGGCAAAACAATAAGCATGTCAGTACAGAAATACAGAAAATGCAAAAGATGCCACTTAATTGTTCTCTGAAATTAGTTATCTGAAACTTTTCATTTGCAATATTGCCAACTAAATTGCAACTAGACAACTCTGGGGACTATAAAGTGGTGCTAAAAATAAAAGCACAATTTGAGGGAACGTTTTGTCATTTTCTGAGTCAAGGTCAAAATCACCTACATTCTTGGAGGTATCTAGGGATTTGTCATGATACAAGGATGGTACATCACAGGACAGGAGTACCTAAATTCAGGCTCTGTCTATTGACATGGTTTCTTTCTAAGAGTTTTTAATAGAGCTATGTAGAATATCTGCTATTAGCTATTCTGACAACCATTCCAAGCCTATCTAGAAAATCCTGTCCATTGGGATGCAAAGACTAATTTTTTAAAAGTGACCTAACTTACTGAAAACAAAACAAAACAAGGCCAGGTGAGGTGGCTCACGCCTGTAATCCCAGCACTTTGGGAGGCTGAGGCGGGCAGATCACGAGGTCCGGAGATCAAGACCGTCCTGGCTAACGCAGTGAATCCCCATTTCTACTAAAAATACAAAAAATTAGCTGGGTGTGGTGGCATGCACCTGTAATCCCAGCTACTTGGGAGGCTGAGGCAGGGGGATCGCTTGAACCCCGGAGGCAGAGGTTACAGTGAGCCGAGATCACACCACTGCATTCCAGGCTGGGCAATAGAGTGAGACACCATCTCAAAAACAACAAAAAACAGACAAAAAATACAAATCTTTACCTTGAGACAACTAGAATGAATCCGAAAAATCCAACCAAATCATCATTTAAAACATTCATTTTTTCCAATTTTTTTCCTTTCTTTGTAAGTTTTTTGTCCTCCCTCCGTTAACTACTTTACAACTTGTCTGCTATTATTAGGTTCCCCTTCACCCCTTTTGAAGTAGATGGATCTGTGGCCAAATGGCAAGTATGTCCTTTCCACTACCACTCTTTTCTCAAAATAGGGCACTCTGGGCTAGAGTGATATCCAAGGAGCAAGAGAGTAGATGGAGCTGGGATATATTTTGCAGATGTAATGAATAGGTCTTGCTGATTCAGTCAATGTAGGGGTGAAGCAAATGGAAGGGTAAAGGGGTGAGCAATGGGTTGCTGGGAGTGCCATTTACTGAAATAGAGAATAGCAGGGAAGTATCTTGTTGGATTATTTTTTTTAAGAGACAGATGAGATCAAGAGTTAAATTTGAAGCTTGTTAAGTTTCCTCTAGTCCCTATAACTTACAAGGCCATCTCATCCCCTGAAAACAAAGGGGGAAAGGTACAAAAGAAGATAAAACTATTATTATGATTAATGAGTTCTCATTGAGAATTCAATTAAATTCAAACTTCAGGGCCTTGGATTTAGGACCTTTTCCATTATGGCATATTTCAGCTCTACTTCTCATGTGTATTTGACTAACCAAACCAAAGCTGTTCAATGTTTTCAAATTATATTATTCGGCATTCCCAGTTCCATGTCTTCATTCATGTGATTCTTTGCTCTGCTCTCTTGCCATACATACTTTCAACGGTATCTGACAAAGTCCTGTTCCTCCTAAAAAGCTTCTCCGAGACACCACCATTGCCATAAAGCATTTTTCAACCCAATGTTTTTGCATCTTTCGAACATCTCTATTATCTTCGGCATAGTGTTTATGTTTTACCTTTTATTATACATATTTACGTAAAAGTCCATACATTAATCCTTGAGAGGTCATCAAGCAGAATTCCTTTACTTATCCCCAAACTTCTCTAGAGAACTTCATGTATGTGGCCAAAGCATCAGATTTCCTTATCTTGGCTGAATGTTGTGGTTCACACCTGTAATCCCAGTGCTTTGGGAGGCCTGAGTGGGAGGATCACTTGAGGCCAGGAGTTCAAGACCAGCCTGGCAACACAGTGAGACCTTGTTTCTCAAAAAAATTTTAAGTCAGCCAGGCATGATGGTGTATGCCTGTAGTCCCAGCTACATGGGAGGCTGAGGTGGGAGGGTTGTTTCTACCCAGGAGTTCAAGGCTGCAGTGTCATACCACTGTACTCTAGCCTGGCCAATAAAGTGAGACAGACAAGAAAGAAAAGAAAAAATGAAAGAATGAAAGGAAGGAAGAGAGAAAGAGAGAAAAATAAAGAGGAAGGAAAGAAGAAAGGAGGGAAAGAGAAAGGAAGGAAAGAAAGAAAAGAAAGGGAAATGAGAAAAAAGGTGTCTTCATCTTATCTGGATTCCCATATGTAGGAAAGTTTAAATAAAATTAGCAACGTTGGCCTGGCACAGTAGCTCATGCCTCTAATCCCAGCACTTTGGGAGGCCAAGACACAGGTGAGCCTAGGAATTTGAGATGAGCTTGGGCAAAGTGGTGAAACCCTGTTTCTACAAAAAATACAAAAATTGGCTGGGCACGGTGGTGTGCACCTGTGGTCCCAGCTATTCAGGAGGCAGAGGTAGGAGGATCACCTGAGCCCAGGGAGGTTGATACTGCAATAAGCCATGATCACATCACTGCACTCCAGCCTAGTCTCACAGGGTGAGGCCCTGTCTCAAAAATATATATACAAAATATATATATTAGCAATTTGACCCAGACTCCACGTGGGTTTTCCAGAGATGCAACGTGACCTACTTGTCTCTTCCTTCCCCTGACCCACTGCTTTCCAGGAGGTGGGTGCACCAACGGATCACCATCTCTGTACTCCTCAAATATGATGTGTCCCAAGATGATCTGAAAGGGTTGAGTGTATTTTAAAGAACCCCAGAAACGTCCACCACTTCACCCCATGAGGCACAAGCAAGGTAACAAAGACGATTATCCTGATTGGGTAGTTCTGAAGGTAGCCAGGGAAGTAGGAAAGACATCTGCTTTAAGGAAACAGCATTTCTCAATGAACATTTGTGGCCACATAAACTTTCCTGATTATTTCCAGCTATGATTCTGAGAATACAGTTAAAGAAAAGCTAGAAATTCACACAATATAAATTGGGAAGAGTTCTTTATTTAACCCTCTACTACATTCAAATTCCAACAATTTCATTTATGTAGAATTGTTTTTCATGAACATAAGGTAAAGCATGCCTGCAATTTACTAAAAGGATATAATTGCAGGCCTGACAATAATTCCTTCAAGGTTACTTCACCTGGTGAAAGCAGAGCTGAAGGCAGAGCTTGTTTCGCCAATTACAAAAGCAATACCTCCACTTTTGCCTGAATTCACATGGTTGATTGCTGCAGCTCTCCCTTTGTGCTAGATGTGGTGACAGAGCCCATGGGGTGCCCATCAAATTGCTCAAATTTTATGAGGCCGTATCATGTGGGTGGTAAAGAGCTTGTGCTTGGATAGAGACCCACTGGGGCTCAGGTGGGCTGTGGCTTGTTTTTCTCATCCGCAAAATGGGGACTGCCCCAACCATTGGCATGATATGAGAATTAGATGAGATAATTCATACATAGTGATTTGCAGAATGCCTGGCACTCGCAACCAGACTCATAAATATTATTTGTTATTTTTATGATTTAGTAAAATTGGTTGGGAAACATGTCTAAGTCAGAACAGCAAGAGAATCATGGCTGGGATGATTTGCTACAGATGCTGGGCACTGTATTTATGGAAATATGCCACAGTGCAAATCTCCTGTTTAGAACATAGGGATAATGACTTTCATTTCCGTGCTGAAGTTCCACCACCCATTGTGAGAATTCACTGAAGAATGCAGGCAAAGTCCTGGGGAAAGACGAAGCAAAATGGGAAACAATTCTCCTAGGCCTCTGAGCCTCACGGTTTTGACATTAGAAACTGAAACCAGTACAAACGAGAGCAACTCCACTGCTGTACTCTGAGGTCCTCTCTGCACCCCCACA